GTTATTACGGAGAGAGAGAAAGAGAGAGAGAAAGAGAGAGAGAGAGAGTCACGGTGGGAATGGGAGTAGGTTGAAAGATGGAAATATTGAAGGCGCGAGGAAACGGAAATCACCTTTGGCGAGAGCGGGTGTGTGTGTGTAGGGGCTAAAGGGAGAAGGGGAAGGGCGCAGACCGGATGATAGCCTGTTGGACGACTGGCCGCCTGGACCCAAATCCCTCGGATAGGATATTTTAGGTTAAGCGTAGATATAAGATAATATAAGGATAATTTTTAAGTTATTTAGTGTTAAGGATAAGTTTAAGAATAGAATTAAGTTATATGTAAGCAAATGTATGAGAGTGAACCCCAAGAAGAAATAAAATACTACTACTACTACTATATATAAATTTATATACACAATGTTTTTGGTAATAATTGATATAATATACAAATTACATTCTGGTACATTATTTATTTGTACGAATAGCACTGAATTAAAACGCTACACCGCATAATAAAAAAAATGTCTTTACACTTTTAATTTTGAAAATACCATTGAACAATCTGATTCTGCGTTTGTCGTCTATTTTCAATCTGCTCTCCATTGTACTCCAGTGGTGGTGCAATATCTATGTCGTCAAAATGTATGTCATCTACGGGCAATCTCCATTTAATTGCTATATTATGCAGGACACAGCACGCATTGACGATCAGAGCTGTAAAAGAAATATAATCGAATATTATTTATCCATATGTAAGTGCCACAAAATTTATTTTTGAAAATTCTGCAATCAACACAACTTTTATATCAAAGTAAAAAAAATAAGAATTACCAGCAAATTCCGGTGCATAATGCAGTGCTCGTTCTTTTCGTAGGCAACGCCAACGATCTTTTAGAACACCAAAGCATCGCTCTACAGCTACCCGAGCTTGAATGTAATGCTCTGTATATCTTGCACCTGGAGTTCCTTCTGGTTGGTGTAACAATGGTGTCAATAAGAAAGGTGAAAGAGGATATGCGGAATCACCTAAAATGTTCACGAAATGTTAATAGTTTAAAAAATCCTTCATCTGTCATCTATTTTATTAATATTGATAAATAAACACACCTAGAAGCCAACAGTTCCTCCTACGCTCTCTATATTTCTCTACTAAATGAGATAAAACTCTGGAAGATCGGAATACACGCAAATTGTGTGTTCTTCCACCATGTGCGCCATTTACAGCAAGAATTTCACCGTTATAATCACAAATCTGGAAATCATATCTATTAGTAATGGCGATGTAAATTTACAGCATTTTACAGTCTCTATGAAGAAGTATATGTATACTCTATCTATACTCACAACCAAGACATTTAATGAATGATAATGTTTTCGGTTTATAAATAAATGCTCCCTTTCCCTTTCAGGTGGGAACATAGCAATATGTGTGCCGTCAATAGCACCAATTACTGCAGGAAAACCAGATCTCTCGAAAAATCTTTCAGCAACAATTTAAAAAATTGATCAATATCAAATATATATGGAAACCAATTACAAGTAATCATAATGACATAAGCAAACAATAAAAAATATACTTACTCATTCTTGATTTTTTCAATTCTTTCAGGGGAAATTGGAAAACGAATCCAATTTTTCATCACATGATTTAAGGCATTTACAGTGACGTGAAGATATTTGCTGATCGTTGTTTGTGACATACACATCATGAAGTTTTGGCCAACTCTCCTTTGATATGATCCCGATGCAAGGAAATTGATTGAAGCAAACACCTAGAAATAATAAAAATCTTGAACATAATGCAGTTATGCGATCGTAGATAATTGTGCATTAGCAGAGTAGATTAATTTTGTTAAATTAAGAAAAAGCTTTAGCTCTCTGTAATTTCATTGTTAAACATCATGGTGTGTACTATTTATTTAAACTGGAGTGGTGTAGAGTATGATTAACAAAATATTTACCTGCAATTCACGAGCTATACCCGTATTTCTTCTTCTTTCAGGCATAAAGGGAGTTAATTCAGCAATCAATTCTTGACATGCTTCTCTGGATAATCTGCAATTAATTAATTATTTAAAGGAGTACACAGTTGCGACATAACCTCTTTCATAATTCATTAATGTATAACCTTACCTATATAGCGAACGAAACTGAGATTCAGATAGAGCAAACGGATCAAATTTATCTCTCAATCTTCTTCTTATAATTCTCATAACTCCATTTTCCTCTTCATTTTCTTCTTCATTTTCTTCGGGAAATATTAGAGCGATCACGATTCCTGCCATCTGGCGTTTAATGCTTCGTGTAATGGATTTAGAGCATTTGGAGGTTGTCCTTCTCATGTGCTCATCTCTTGAAACGCTTTAAACTCATCTTTCGACAAGACATTTCTTGTCGAGGAAACTCACGTGGAATGGTTCATATTTTCACTACGATAAAAGTTACGAAATCACGCAAACTGCTCACTTTTCACATTTTCACTTCAGTTTAGTTACACAATCGATACCCTGACCAAGGGAAAGTGTTGTAAATCGATCTTGGTATAATCAGTTCGCTTCTATGTTGTATCGATTTTATCTATGCTGTAACAAAAACAGGTCGCCCCCCTTTTTTCTTCTTTCTTCTAAGCAGAGCTAGAAGCAACGTGCGCGCAGCATAATACTTGTACTCGTTCTCATACAATTAAAAGTATTCTCAAATTAACGTATTACTTCTTTTAATCTCCTCATTCGACTACACTGACTTGTTAACAACAACAATTTCTGCAATCGAAATCTTCTAAAAAAATTTAATTTATCGTATTCTTCAAAATAATTAGCACGCACATGAACATTTCGTGGTATTCCGTAAACAACTAAATTGAATGCGTCTAATTCATCATCTTCTAGTACATCAACATTTATTAAATCCATTTTTATGGTTAAATTCCAATATTTTATGTAAATTATATGATAGCATAATTAATAATTTGCTATAACTTATAACGCTTTCGGTTCCTTAAAGTTTCTTAAGCGGTACTGAAATCATGGCTTAAGATAAGCGTAAATTAAAACACTTTAGGTGTCACTTATACTTTGATGCAACAAGCTTAAAATTTTAAGTTACGCTTAAAACCAAAATGAGATTGGTGCAACCGGGCCTAAACGATTTATATCTATCGGAGAAGCAGATTTAGTACTTGGTACGCGTACTAAACAATCGATGTAAACTAAGCCATAGTAGTGACAAGATGCAAATTTTAGTCACGCCGCTAGTGCTATTGGTGGTGGGGTTAATGTCCAAGTTTTTTGTCGCTGCTCGGAAGTTCCAAAGAGACAAATGGTGTATTCAAGGGGTCGATTGTGTATCATAAAAAAGTGAACAAATTTACTAGTTATTGACCAATAAAATCATGGATATTTTAGTAAATTTGTTTACTTTTGTAATTTTTATTTTATTTCATGCTACACAATCGACCCCTTGAATACACCAATTGTCTCCTTGGAACTTCCGAGCAGCGACAAAAAACATGGACATTAACCCCACCACCAATAGCACTAGCGGCCTAAAATTTGCATCTTGTCACTATAATGGAAATGGATAATAATGGAAACTATAAGAGGCGTGTCTAAAATGGCGCCGCAAAGACACCACAGTTGCAGGGAGCAAAAAAAAGTAAGTACAAGACAAAATTATTATATTATGTAATGTAATAAAATTAAATGTAATAAAATAATAATAATATATAGTACATAAAATGTAAAATGTTGTAAAAGATAGATAGAAAGTATAAAATATTTTTTTTTTACAGAAATGAATGAAGCAGAGAAAGAAAATTCTTCCTTCAATGCAGCGACTACTGCTGAAATCGCTGCATTGAAAGAAGAATTGCGAGCATTAAAATTAACACTAAACTCATCCTGTGATACGTTACCGGGGCCACCGCCACTGCCACCGTTGCCATCGGAGCCACCGCTGTCAGCGTTGCAGCTACAGTCGCAGCCGCCGCCGCCACCAGCATCATCATCTTCATTATATGAACAATCAAGAGACACGACTCTTGATTGTTCATATCTTCCGCCACATATTATAAAAGGTAAAAATTATCCGCTCTTAAAATAAGTATAAATTTAATATTTTAATTTTCTTTTTAGAGATAAAAAATTGGCAGCAACAGCAACAACAACAATGGCAGTGGCAGCAGGGGGGACAGGAGTACATACCAGTGCTACGTAAGTTATTTTATTGTATTTTATATATATTTTATTAAATATTTTATCCTCAAAAATAAATTATTAAATTTGTTTTGTTCTATTACAGCACCACGATGGAACAGAGGAAGAGGAGGAGGTTGCGGTCGTCGAGGAAGTCGCGGTGGAAGTCGCGGACATATCCACTTTCACTTTTAATTAATGATAACAAAATACATTGTTTACTTAATTTAGAGGTTTCAGATAAGCTGCGTCGAATGTGTCAACTTCGTTTATTAAAAAAATTGGCTTGATTTCGTACATGTTTTACTTTAGTCGCTCCTTTTTCCAATATTCCTAAAGTATTTGTTAGTTTTAAGTTCAGTGTCCATTTCAGATGTTGCTTCATCCACTAAATGACAAAGACGCGCAAATGTGCTGGAGAGCTCTCTACATAATCATAAGAAGTATTATTTTAGAAAAAATATATTTTCGAAAACAAATATAGCAGTTTTATAATAAATGTAAAAAAAACTTAGATAATTAGTTAGAAAAACCCGGGGGTTGAGCTACCCACCGGGCGCGTCTCCAAGGTGGCGGATAGGAGAACGCCCAGTAGGTGTGAGTTCTCTGAGGGGATTCAGTGCTGCTGGGTAGTGGCGGTTATAACCTGGCCCCACGGAAATAAAACCCTGTGGAGGGTAAGGGAAGACCGTTGCCGCGGACCAACTCCCCAAGCCAAGTTGTAAGCCATCGTGGCGATGGCTGCATGTCACTGGGGGAGCAGTGTCGCGAACGATGCCTCTGGAGAACCGGGCGAAACCCCAGAGTATCCAGCCTTACCCACGCATGCGGGGCTCTGCGTAGGCGGACCGTGTAATTCCCTAGCTACTCGTGGGACCACTATGGATTTGACAAATAACATTAACTTAGAGAACGAAGTGGAAAATCGGGAGGGCTCGCGTGACGGGTCTCCGAGGGAAGGAGCTGGAACGGGGGTGACGGACGGGACCCTTAAGGGCTCCGGAAGTGAAGCCGGCCCGGC